GTTCGCTGCTCTCCCAGCGAACGCGCGAATCGCTCGGTTAGAGTCAGGCGATAAGGAAATGGACGGGCAGGGGAGGCCGCACGACCCTTGAACAAGTTCTTGAGTTCACAGCACCTTTATTAACAAGCCACTGATCGTACACGTGTATAACTCGATAAGCTCCGGAGGCACTCCTTCTCGCGACTGACCGAAAAGCCGCGCATTGGAATGCGTACACAATACCTGTTCAGCTCCCCGCGCGAGCTTCTCGATCCACCCGAGGGGGAGAGAACGGTATTGTTTGGAGCGAGAAATCGGCTAAACATGAGGAACGGAATTCGTCGCAGCGCCGGGTGCGAGGCGGCCGCTAAACTCTCGTTCCCGCTTGAACATTCCGCCCGCCTCGTCCAGGAGACGAAATGTAGCCAATCTGCAACGCTTAGGGCCTGTTCTCGGTCTGGGTTCCCGAAACTGGCAGAGGGACAACCTTGGTGATCGGGCGGGTCAGCGTTGTTGACGACGTGTCTAGGGTCACGACCCGCGTCAGTCCGTCGCCGCCGGGGTGTACTTGGCGAACCCGTCCCAGCGCCCACTTGGCGGGGGGCTGCAGTTCGTCCTTGATGAGGACCAGTTCTCCTGGCTGGACGTTCTCCAAACGCTGTCTCCACTTTCCCAGCTGCTGGAGATGATGCAGATATTCTCGGGACCACCTGGACCAAAAATGATCGCGCATGTTAGTAACAAGTCTCCAGCGTAAGTTGAGCGACCTTGGTGGGTCCGTCAGGGTCGAGGGTCCCGGCACATTGACTGGTGCCTCTCCGATCAAGAAGTGACCGGGCGTTAACGCGGCTAAGTCGCTCGCGTCTCCGCTCATCGGATGCAAGGGGCGTGAGTTGAGGCACGCCTCGATCTCACTAAGGAGTGTAGAGAGCTCCTCGTAAGTCAGCGTGTGTGACCCAAGTACTCGACGAAGGTGGTGTTTGGTCGACCTCACGCCCGCCTCCCACAGCCCGCCGAAGTGAGGGGCAGAAGGGGGGATGAAGCTCCACTCGGTGCCATCCGCTGCGAGTTGGTTCCGACACATCTGGAAGGACTCCGATGCTCCCTTGAACAGGGCACGGAGCTCTTTGTCCGCCCCGTGGAAGTTTGTGCCGTTGTCGCTGACGAGCCGTGAGCAGCGACCGCGTCGAGCGACAAAGCGTTTGAAGGCCGCTAGAAATGAATCAGTCGTTAAATCAGAGACGGCTTCCAAGTGTATGGCCCGGGTAGCCATACAAACAAATAAACAAATATAGCCCTTGTAGGCCTTGTGACCTCGGCCTTTCGAGGTACGTAAGAGGATCGGCCCGGCATAGTCTACACCGGTCGTGTTGAAGGGTCGCGTCGGAAGGACTCGATCTGCCGGGAGTTGGTCCATCTGCTGAGTAGCAGTCTGACCACGGAAACGCGCGCATGGCACACAGCGGTGGAGCTCGGCGCGGATTAGTGACCTGGCATGGACGACCCAGTATTTACGGCAGAGTACGCTGTGTGTCAGCTGGGGTCCCCCGTGCAACGTCCTTTGATGGGCATCCCGCACCAGCAGCAATGATAAGGCGTTAGTTCTCGCCAGGATCACGGGGTGTCGTTCATCGTATGAAAGTGAGGCGCGTTCCAGGCGGCCACCAACCCTAAGTAAGCCGTCTGGTCCAAGTATGGGACGCAGGGCCGCTAAGGGCGATCTCTTGGGCAGAGATGCGCCTGTGGAGAGTCGTTCAATCTCCCCGGCGTAGTCCTGCACCTGGGCGACCCGAAGCCATCGTAGAAGGCTGTCGTTAAGCTCGGCGGTTGAGAGACCGTTGCTCCGCGACGTGTTCGGCCTCCTAAGAAGTCTAAGGCAGAAGGCTGAAACTCTTATCAATTTAGTCAGAGAGGAGAATCGGTCGAGTAACTCGTTTCCACCCCCGGTTGGTTGAACGACAGTGGTGAGGGCTTGTCGCTCCTCGCCTCCCTCCTCGCCTCGCGCGTCGCAGGGCCAGCACTCGCTAGGGAGCTCGAGCCATGGCGGACCCTTCCACCACAAGCGTAAGTTCGCTAATTCGGTGGGTGTAAGGCCTCGTGTGGCTGCGTCCGCCGGATTCTCCGCTGTGGACACGTGTCGCCAGCATCCGGCTGGAACAATGTCGTGTATTGCAGCTACTCGGTTGGCCACAAACGGCGTCCAGCGTGATGGATGTCCCTGCAGCCAATGGAGTACCACTCTGGCATCCGTCCAACCATATAGGCGGTCGCCCGGGATGTTGAGACCTTTGGCGGCAAGCGAGAGGAGTCTTGCCGTTAGCAGAGCCCCGCAGAGCTCAAGTCTAGGGACTGATAACGGCTTTACCGGCGCCACCTTGGTCTTTGCTACCAGGAGACAGGCTGCTACCTGGCCCGCTGATCCTGGTCCACGCACGAAGACCGTGGCTGAGTACGCTCTCTCCGAGGCGTCCGAGAAGCCGTGCAGCTGGACGGAGGACATGTCCGACACTCCGGTCCATCGAGGAATCCTCAGGCTCTCGAGGTCCGGCAAGGCGGCGGCGAATCGTCTCCAGCGCTCCTCCAGAGGTGGAGGTAATCGCTGGTCCCAATCCAGCCCGGTAGTCCAGAGATCCTGGAGGAGGATTTTCGCCCCGACGAGAGCAGGTGCGGCCCAGCCGGCGGGATCAAACAGTCGCGCTACGTCCGACAGGATCGTCCGCTTGGTGGGCGAGTCCACGGATGTTAATGCCGGGACTGCGCGTAGTCGTAGAGTATCCTGAGTAGGCGTCCAAAGGATGCCAAGCGCTCCAACGCAGTCAGTTCTGGTGAAGAGTCGCTCGGTGGAGGGCCCATCATTCGGTTGGAGAGCGGCGTGCGAAGCGGCCCATTTGCCCAGCGGGAAACCGCCGGAATTGAGCAGTCCTGCAGTCTGCCGCTGCACCTCCAGGGCGTCGTCGATTGTGCTGGCGCCCGCCAACACGTCGTCCACGTACATGTGTGAATGTACGACTTGTGCACCCCGCGGAAAGCGTGAGCTCTCGTCTAGTGCAAGTTGCAGCAGTGTGCGGTGGGCCAGATACGGCGCTGAAGCCGTGCCGTAGGTGACCGTCGTGAGGCGATAGTCCAGCAGCCTGCCAGACGGATCCGCCCGCCATACAATGCGTTGAAGGTCCGCATCGTCGGGGTGGATGCGTATCTGGCGGAACATCTTGACGATGTCCGCGGTGAATGCAAACTGGAAGAGTCGCCATCGCGTGAGAACCAGCCAAAGGTCCGCCTGCAGCTTCGGGCCCGGGAGCAGCAGGTCATTGAGAGAGGCTCCAGAGGACGTGCGAAACGATGCGTTGAAGACCACTCGTATTTTGCCTTCCGGATCCGACTGCTTGACGACGGCGTGATGCGGCATGTAGTATACCTCCCGACGCGCGTCGTCTTGAGCGACGTGCTCCATGTGGCCTAAGGTAAGATAGGAATCCATGAACTCCTGGTACTTGGTTTTGAGCGGTGGGTTCCGCTCTAGGCGCCGCTCTGTTGAGAGCAGCATCTTCAGAGCGCCGGGTCGCGACTCGCCAAGGCCGACGGAGGATGTCGTCGTGCGAGGCAGGCGGACTATGTAGCGCCCCTCTGGGCTGCGAGCGTGAGATTCCGCGAATATCTTCTCGCACTCAGCGTCCTCCGGGGTAGGCACGGCGTCTCCCGAGACCTCCTCTATCTCCCAAAACCGCCGTAGGTCGGAATGGAGATCTTGCAGGGTGATAGCGTGATGGACAGCGGCTGGGCTTCCTGACGTGCCATCGGGTTCCGATATCGGCCCCATGAGCACCCATCCGAAGACCGTGGAATGAGCGGAGGGGTCTCCCGTGGCGCCCCGCTTGACGCCACCTTGAAGGAGAAAACCATAGACGTCCGCTCCTAAGACGATATCAATTTTGGACGGTTGGTCGAACTCAGGGTCGGCCAGTTCGAGCCCGCGCAAATGCGGCCACGCTCCTCTCTGAACCCGCCTTCTCGGAGTGAGCGTGGTGAGCCGGGGTAGTACCAGGACCCGCGGCAGGGCGACGCGCATCGAGGGGGAGCGGATAGATCCGACCAGCAGTGAGACTGAGTGGGTCGCGCGACCCGTGTTAACGCCTTGTAGACCGCAGACGGTTACGTTGGCGCGTCTTCTTGACAGCTTAAGCTGCTGAGCTACGCGCTCCGACACGAACGACGCTTCAGAGCCCGAATCGAGCAGTGCGCGGGCGGTTACGCTTTGTCCAGCGTCTGCGAAAAGCTTGACGATGGCTGTGGCAAGCAATACGGTGCCCGATACAGAGCTCGACAACGCGGTGACCTCTGTGGGGTTACTTGGAGGGCTCGACTGGTCGCTCGCCGTAGAAGCGCAGGCCGGCTTGTCCGCCTTGGGATGAGCCGCTTCCGAGCTACCGCCGTGCAGCAACGTATGATGAGGTTCGTTGCAGAGACGGCATCTGTTGCTGGAAGGGCACGCCGCGGCAACGTGGCCTTGCCCTAGACAGTTCGAGCAGGCCTTTCGTTTGCGGACCTGTTCGCGTCGATTTTCGACGGAAAGAGCCTTGAACTTCGTGCACGAGCGCATAGCGTGTTGCTCCCGACAGAGGGGACAAGAGGCGCTCTTGTCGTTGGATCCAGTGGACGTCGCGTTCAACGATACGTCATCTCGGCGGCCGGAGCGCCTCGGTTTCGCTGTCTTTGCGGCAACCGGTTGAACGCGAGGGTTGGCTGCGTCGAGGGCGCGCGCGCGAGACGACAGAAAGTCCTTCAAGTCCGAGAACGACGGGAAGTCCTGACTCAGGTCGCGAAAGGATTCCCAGAGCAATCGCGTTGATGAATCAAGCTTCTCTATTAAAATATGGACGAACCAGTCGTCCCAGTGATCGACCGGACGGCCCATGGATTTGAATGAGCGTTGAGCTTGATTCACGGTGCTTACTAAGCGATTGATTTCCGCGGCACACGGCTTTGTGATCGGCGTAGCAGAGAGCAGGGCACGCATGTGTGTCGCCATTAAAACGCTCTTATTATCGTAGCGAGCGACAAGCTCCTCCCACGCCGAAGTGTAACCTTGTGCAGTAATTTCGATATTCGCGATGACGGCCGCCGCGTCGCCCGTCAGATTGGCCTTCAAATATTGGAGCTTCTGAATCGGAGCGAGTCCTTCGACGTCATGCACGAGCGACTTGAATAGATCTCGGAACCCCTCCCAGGCTAATTGATCGCCGTTGAACGTAGGCAAGTCGATTTTTGGGAGTTGAATCTGTCGCAGCACTGTGGACGCATCGCTCTTGCCGCCCGCCGTTTCGGGCGCTTTCGGAGCCGGCATGCTCGCCGCGATGCGCGCCTTGGAGTCGAGGTAACGGTCTTCCGTCGCGGTGTAAATATCCTGTTTGACATAGTCGGTGGATCCGAGCGTCTCAAAAGCCAGTAGCTCGTCATGAGTTTGCAAAAAACGCGTCCAGTAACACTCGAGAAGATCCAAACGCGCGACGAGGTAAGGTCGCGTCATCTTATCCCTTCCGATCTTGACGAGGTTGTCCCAGAAGCGGCCGATGTATCCCGCGGTAGAGAGCTGTCGCTTCAGCACGGTCTCCATTTTAACGAGATCGACGAGGAGAGTTTATGAGGTATAAATGTCCTGGAGTCTGTGTAACGAAGGTCGGAATTCCGGGCTGAAGTCACTTGTAGCGCGGCGCGCGCGAGTACGGTACGCGACCCTTAGGCGCGGGGAGCGCGGAGCGCGGTACGCGTGACCTAGGGCGCGGTAAGCGCGGAGCGCGGTGCGAAGCACTCTAGGCGCGGTAAACGCGGAGCGCGGCGCGAAGCACTCTAGGCGCGGTAAACGCGGAGCGCGGTGCGTAGCACTCTAGGCGCGGTGAACGCGGGGCGCGGTGCTTAGCACTTGGGCGCGGTGCGTGCGGGGCGCGGTGCGCGACACTTTAGGCGCGGTAAACGCGGGGCGCGGTGCGAAGCACTTGGGCAGCAGGCGCGCGGATCGGGTTATCCGCGGCGATTGCGCAACCTTGGGGTTGCTGGCTCACCCGACGATCTTACCGCTGTTTCCCTTGACGGGTCTTTTCCCGCGCTAGAGGGCTTCCAGAAGGTGATGAATCGGAACTCACCGTATTCGCGGTTAAATTGTTCGTTCCACGTGTAGGTGCACGTGGCGAAATGATTGTTTCGTGATCCTCCGCCTGCTCCAGAATCCGGCTCGAAGGACCAAATGTTCGCTGCTCTCCCAGCGAACGCGCGAATCGCTCGGTTAGAGTCAGGCGATAAGGAAATGGACGGGCAGGGGAGGCCGCACGACCCTTGAACAAGTTCTTGAGTTCACAGCACCTTTATTAACAAGCCACTGATCGTACACGTGTATAACTCGATAAGCTCCGGAGGCACTCCTTCTCGCGACTGACCGAAAAGCCGCGCATTGGAATGCGTACACAATACCTGTTCAGCTCCCCGCGCGAGCTTCTCGATCCACCCGAGGGGGAGAGAACGGTATTGTTTGGAGCGAGAAATCGGCTAAACATGAGGAACGGAATTCGTCGCAGCGCCGGGTGCGAGGCGGCCGCTAAACTCTCGTTCCCGCTTGAACACAAAT